ACATCTTTATGCGATGTGGGATTATATCCCTTAACATTTCCCCTCTTTCCTTCACCTGTTTGAGCCGGAGAGTTTTTCTCCTTTTTCTATCGATCTTCTTATATGCATGCATTGTCCCCGTTTTTCCCCATCTTTTCAATCTTCACGCTCATAATCAGATTTCCATCCATGTAAGTATGTATGTGAAGTGTTTATGAACAATTTTTCTATGTAAATAGGTAAAAATTGGCGATGAATTAGTGAGACGTATTTATGGATTCATCTAAATATTTTCAACTTCTTTTAAACACAATCCAATACTTTGATAAATTGAACACAGACAAATTCCTTCTGTTTTACGCAATGGAATCCCTTGTTGTAATGTCGCGAACTGAATATGAACAAATTACTTACTTGAAATTAAAGATTTTTTTTTTTAATTTTTTTTAGATATATAAAATGATGAATAACTTAAAACAATACCAGAGACAAAAAAAATGTTTCTACTATAATTATGATAAAATTGTCAGTATTGTAAAACTATAAGATAAATATTGATGATTATGTTATCTTATCGTCATGTGTATATAAGTCTTATCTAGTTTAGAGTGTCTATTTCATTTCAATTGTAATTTTCATTTTGAACATTATAAATACAGGTTTTGATTATCCATAAAATACACACTTGACTTTGACTCTTTATTTTTCTCTCTATTTATTATCTATATTTCTCTTTTATTCTTTTAATTTTATAGCACCAACACGAATGTTTTTATCTAATTACTATTTTTCTTAGAAAAAGTTAGCGACCAAAACTCTCTACACCAAAGTTTTTATCCAATTCCACGTTTTGATTTTCTTAATATTACACGTCTCTGCAGCCAAATTCCAAAATCTGCACTCAATTAGAAATATTTCATGTCTTGCAACCCAATTTTGAAAATTCTCTATGTATGCCGCTTACTTGAATATTATGACGAAATTTACATGTATGTTTTGTAACATAATCATTGTTTTACTCCATTGAAATTTAGTTGCATGGAAACGTGTAGAAAAATTAAACTGTAAGTAAGTGTTAGAATGCATATTCCATTAAATTTCTTTACATCTCATTATGCACGTTATTTTTAAAAGTAGTACTTTACAATAGTTTTAATTGCAT